TATATATATATATTCTAGATTTCAGAGCAGAATTAACAGTTCATTCAATTTATGGACCAGACTAATTCCTGGTCACAATAAACACTGTGCTGTGTATTTGGTGATAAAAACACTGTGTTCCCTGATAGAGGGCGAACAGCAGCTTCTATCTGTGTGTGTGTTTTATAAAATTAGATTAGATTAGAGAGACCTTTATTGTCATCGTACAGAGAGCACAGTGAAATTACAGTTCAGAACACCCATTCAGAAATGACACACACTCTGACACAAGTGCTCATGAAAAGCATTGGGCACTTTTTATGCCTGGGTCAGATTCAATTTTCTATAATTTCTTTTAAAAAATTGTAAATCGATTACACTGTTAAGGACAAACACAGAGAACTAGGTATTTGAAGTTGTGCTAATTAGTGCTTTCTTTGTAGAGTTATGCAACTAAAACAATCAAGTAATGCATACTTTAGATGTACTTTTGACTTAGTAAAAACTCATCAGTTACTATTTTAATCTACTAAATCACTGCATGTGAAATGTACTCTATTTAGTCCATGTATTTATTGAAGTTGGGCTGATTTAGCATTTCTAAGTTATATTTAAAGACGTTACAGAGACAAAACTTGTCTCAAAGCACAGTAGGCGTGATGTTGGCTTCTTTGTGTTTCTAGTGAGTTTAACTCTATATAAAGTAACACTCACTTTAAACAGAGTATTTGTGCCTTTCACAAAATACTCATACAGTTTCATAAGTTATATTTTTGATAACTATAAAGTTAACTTTATGTAAGTCAGGGTAGCTAGATTTTACTGAGTTTTGAAGGTGGGGTTGGTGAAACTGCTCAAATGTAGTGGATGAGAAACTTACTGACTTGTTGCATCAATAAATTATACCAAAGAATCCTGGCCAAGCTGTTGACTTTTATATGCGTTTACAAAACAGTAAAAGTCAAACTTTTCTGTTTGATTCCTCTCTTTGGCTCGTCTCATTTGTTCGTTTAGTCTTCAGGGCTTTCGTTCGATCTTCCAACCGTAGCAAAAACAACAAATATCCCACACTGATTTAAAGTTTTATTAAACTGTCCCAGGGTTTGAAAAGATTCGTTGTGAGTGCCTTCTGGCCGTGTGATAATCTTATTTTCTTACAAGCAGGGATCTGAAAAGGACCTGAAGCAGTCCCATTAAATCAGCGTGACCTCACCAGTCTGGCAGGGATCCATACGGTGTCAGTCTGAAGAGATTCTTGTCTGTTTCGTTGCTTTCCTCTCTGTCGGCAGACGAGGGCGGACCTGTGGATCAGCGGACCGTCGTGGATCAGTTTTCTGAGAGTAAAACCGCTGAAACAACTCAACAGTAATAATGTGGAGTTTGGAGAATTCACTCACGTTCTGTTGACCACTGATCTGAATCTTCCAGCTCTGGTTTAGGAAAACAACAAAATAGTTTTTAAGACATTTTATAACAGTGTGGTTTTTTTGTACCCAATTTATGTTACAACCATGTTTAAAAAGAATAAATATGTCCTCTTAGCTCAGCATGAGACGTGGACTGAATATTCAAAAATGCATATAAAACAAAAGCAATGTTCCTAATGTAAAATAACTGTCCACTGGATGTTATGCATCATTTATTTAATAAAACAAATAATTGTGCTTAAATTTGGAAAGGTCATTGTGTGGCATGATGAATTACTACATTTTCCACATTAAACATAGTTTCAGCTCCGTTTAAAACTGGTGGAAAGCAGCCTCACAATTATCCCTAATTGGCTGCAATAACTCCTTTTCTTCTTTTGCTCTGAGTGGAATCATAATGTTTTTCAGCTGAAGTGCTGTGCACCATAGAAAACTGCACAGTGTCCTATTTCTGATGAATCGATTCATTCAGTGACCGTTTAGGACGGTCAAGCACATGCAGCTAACAGTTTCACAGCACGTAATAAGAACCAAATGACGGAGATTTGTTCAGGCCTGAGATAACAAGCTGGATTACTGTCCTGGCTCGTAAAGAGAAGGAGCTTCTTTCAGAGAGATTTGTGGTGGTAATTTATTAGCTGGATAAACGGTGGCTGACATATTGACACAGTGGAGTTCATTCTGCTGAGGAGGAGGAGGAGGAGGAGAGTCTTTACCCTGTGGCTTCCTGTGGATCTGCCTGAACATGCTCCTGTACCACTCTTTGGGCTTGTTCACACTCTGGTGTAACGAGAGAAGCGAGAGGAGAAAGTGAGCCAACATGGCCGTGCACAACACCGGCCGGAGAGAGAAGATGGTCCGTCTTACAGATCTGGAGGCGATGGGCATCCCCGTCTCATCCACCGGCCCGATTCCTGAGAACTTGATGAGCCTCTCCTCCTTGGTTGGCGTCCAGCTGCGAGGTAAACTGGAGGAATCCTGGACTCCATTGGACAAACCACCTGAGTTCAAACAAACACAGTTAAACCAAAAACTCCAGGTCCATGCTTCTTTGTTTTCTCCAGTTTTACATTTGCATTTCAACATCATTTCTCTTCATTTCTATTCTACTGTATCTGAGTCACAATCCCCTCAGTCGTTAGTTTGCCCCTGCAACTCTGACTTGAACTTATTTTTGTACTTCCTTCAAAACTTGCACCTTTGTATCAAAACAGCAGTGAAAATCCCAACATTCATAATTGAAAACAGCAAAACATTTAGGAAACATGAATGTAAAGAACTTTTTAAGAAATTTTGCCTTTTCAGGAATTCTCCCCAACCTTGTATTCAACATTAAAGGAGGCATATCATGCCTTTAAAACCTTCCTTTTAACATTTAAATAATCATTTAGGGGTTTATATGAAGTAGAGCTGCAATGCTTTGGTCTGAATTCCTCATTATTTTATCTCCGCTCCTCTTTCACTCCTGTTCTGAGGTGCGTCTGAGAGCAACTCGTTTTGGTGCTGTCTCTTTAAGTGCAAATAAGGCACTCCACACCCCGCCCCCCTCTGCCTCATTTTTGCTGTTTTTGTAGTTTGGATAGCGGAAACTTTTTTCTTAAACAAATTGATTAAAAGATGTCAACAAGGAAACACTTGTCCATCCAGCCTAACATGTTGGAGTTTGAGCCAGAGCAAGAGGAGGATGAAGATGACAAAGCTGCAGAACAGCAAATTTGGAAAGCTTGAGGTCTGTGAGCTTGTTTAGCAGCAAATACTGTGATATTATTGCTCAAAATGTGTCGGGAATAAAGAAAACCGAGCTGACTGAAAAATATAACCCAGACAGAGTATAAACATATCAATGCAGCATCCAGAGAGACTATAATTAACTTTTCTGCACTCTTAGAGACTCCAAGTACACAATAAATGCATTTCAAGCATTTTTGCTTGATGTGTCCCCTTAAAGAGTGAATTACAAACGCAGCTTTGTTGCCATTAAAGCTTTGCACTAATGTGGTGCTTACCCTGGGACTGCGATGGTCCGTAGTACGATCCAAAGCTGGGAGTAGCTGGACCTCCTCCATTAAACTCTGACCCCTGCAAGTAAACAGAAATATCCAAAATAACTGAATGATTCGAACAAAAGGCATGTGATGCTTTGGCTTTCCACATGGAGGAGCAGTTCTTTCTCTCTGCTCAGCCTCAGCTGCCGACTCTACCTTGACAGCTGCAGATGGCAGCCTCGAGGTGTGAAAGGGGCTCAGAGGAGGAGTCGGGAGTCCCGGGGAGATGACCACCTCATAAGCCCGATCAGGAGAACTCAAGCTTCGCTGGCCTGAAGGCACCTCGGGCTCCCCGGAAAAGGCGATCTGGGAGCCATAGCCCCGCACTTCCGCTGCACTTTGCTGTGAACAGAGGAAACGAGAAATGTGGACGAGCTCAAACAACGTGAACTTTGCCCCTGCCCTGTCCTCCTGCGGGCCCTGAGGAAACAACGCTCTCTGTGAGAGGTCATGTGAACTTGTTAGTGGTCCGGCTATTCTCCAGAGAAAAACTGGCCTCTGGTGGGTGGGGGGGCTGTGATGAAAAGCAGTGGGAAGTGGTATTCCACCCTCTTCTTCAACTCTTTCACCGTGACTGCAGAAGGGCCTCATTCAAGGTGAAGAGTGGGGGGCTCTGAAACAGGATGGGACCCTTTATGAGCTCATTACCTCCTGTTTACAAGTCAGGGGGTGGAGAAGTTGGGAAGAGTGGTTGTTAATGTCTAGAGTCCAGCCGTTTCCACGGTGCCTCATTTTCACGATGGCCGGTCTGACCCCAGCACTCCTGACCCTCTAGAATCAGGTGCTCTGGTCCTCTCTGTGTGGTTGCCAGTGGGGTCATGGGAAAGACCCCCGTGCCTCTTAGTAACAGTCCCTCTGTTATCTTCAGGCATGTCGCTGTGGCACAAACTGACTTTTAACACAACAATGTGTTTTTCTTTTACTTGTTCTTGATTTTTTTTCACGTTTAAACACTTTTTTCAAGGTTTAACAGCTGAAAGTTGCTAGAAATAAGATTAAATGTGGGTTTACCTGAGTCTGCATGAGAGCTGCTGTCGTCCTTCTGTGACAGATATCAAACTCCTGTTCCCAGCATTAATGATCTGCAAAATATTAAAATGAAACCCACTTTATGACTATTCAAACGTATGAAATTTATATGATGCAATGAAATCCTGATGCTTTTGTTAACTTTATATGTAAAATTTAATCTGCACTGTTGTATATAATGTTTTGTTTACAGTGTGATACTATAATTTTACAGAGTTAAATCTTTAAAATAATGGAAAAAAAACTTAATTGCAGAAATCATAATGATAATGAATTTTTTTGTCCTTAAATGTGGTTTAAAAACAGTTGAAGTTTTAACTATTTGTTTATTGT